GAGGCCATGCGCTTGCATATTTCAAATCTTACCTTACTAATAGGTATCAGTATGTCACCATTAAAGACACAGCATCAACAACACAGCCACTTGATACTGGAGTTCCACAGGGAAGTGTCCTTGGTCCCCTGCTCTTCCTCATATACATCAATGATCTTCCAAACGTATCTCGACACCTGAACCCCATTCTCTTTGCTGACGACACGACTTACGTCATCTCTCACCTTACTCTTGCAACCCTCAACACCATTGTTAATGAGGAGCTGATCAAAATATCGACTTGGATGACAGCCAATAAACTTACGCTTAACGTTGACAAAACCTACTACATTATGTTTGGTAGCAGAGCAGGAGATGCGCAAATTAACATTAAGATCGACAACACTCTAATTACCAGGCATAATGAGGGCAAATTCCTAGGCCTATACCTCGACAATAACCTGAACTTCAGCACCCATATCCAACACATAACCAAAAAAGTATCCAAAACGGTTGGGATCCTCTCCAAGATACGATACTACATGCCGCAAACTGCCCTTCTCACACTATACCATTCACTTATATAGCCATACCTCACCTATGCTATCTGTGCTTGGGGTTCAACTGCAGCAACACACCTAAAGCCAATAATAACCCAACAAAAAGCCGCAGTAAGAATAATCACTAAATCCCATCCCTGGCAACACCCCCCCCACTCTTCATAGATCTAAACTTACTCCCTGTTCAGTACATCCACACTTACTACTGTGCAATCTACATCTACAGGACCTTAAATTCCAATATTAACCTTGACCTAAAACGCTTTCTTGATAGTTGTGACAGAACCCACAGGCACAACACCAGACACAAACATCTCTATGACATTCCCCGTGTCCGACTAAACCTTTACAAAAATTCAATGTATGTCAAAGGCCCTAAAATCTGGAACACTCTACCTGAAAGTTCCAAAACTGCAGACACATTCATCTCCTTCAAAACTACCATCAGAAAACATCTTATCTCCCTGATACACCCTGTCAACTAATAATACGAATACGTATCACCTGGTGGTTCATACTTACACTCACTCACCCATTTGACCATAAACAGAAATATTAATCTCAATCTCAAAATAATGAATCTTAACTAGTCATAAGTTGGCCTGTTATACTCCAATACTGAAACTATGTATAGTGCCAAAACAAAAGCATTCACATTGCTAAACTCACAACTAGTATTTAGTCACTTAGCCATAATACCAACTTATCTCATAATTTTGTAACATTTTAAACCTAAGATTTAATATAAGTCTGCCCAAAATGCCTAGCCATGCTAGGCGTTCTAGAGGTACACTCTGTAATTATTATTTTACTACATGTAAACCACACAATAACCAAATTCTGTAAATTCAGCATTGTAATACTTATAGAGAATAAAGTTTGAATTTGAATTTGAATCGAATTTGAAAATATTGGATGGAAGAAAGGCCAAATCATTTATAGCAAGGAGAAAAAGTGTTGTGCTCAGAACACATCCCTAGGGGACACCTTCAGCTTGGACAAAGTCTGGGGAGAGCATATTATTAACCCAAACACAGAAATGTCTGTCAGTTAAGAAGTTCTTAAGGAAGGATGGTAGATTGCCTTGGAGCCCTAAGGAGTGGGCTTGGGCCAAAATATTATACCTCCAAGTTGTGTCATATGCCTTCTCAAGGTCAAAAAATATGGCAATAACTGAGTGGTTATTCACAAAGGCATTACAAACATACATGTTATGGGGCTACAGGACCCAACATGTATTTATGTATCTGTAACAGTTACTCTGGAATACCTAATTATATTGAACTAATGGGGGCAAGATTGCTTAAATGTCATAAGGGCAGATCACCCTTATGGCAGTAAGGCAGCCGAATCAAGCCTGTTTTTCCCAATATAATAGATTATACTATAGACACACAAACACAATTTAAATAAGTAGTTTATAAAGTTGTATTTCTTTTTGTAAAAGTAAATAAGGTGTGGTAAAATTGTGGTAACTAGAGAATTGTGCTTGGCAACAGTCTTTTGTTTTTTGATGGGTGTGGGAGGAGCTTAGCTAGGCTCCTCTCTCTCCCTCTCTCTTTTTTTTGTTGACTTCAAGCTGGTAGGACCTCTGGGTCCTTCTTTCTATTTTTTGGGGGCATTGAGTGCCCCAGGGGTGAGTTTTATAACTTAAGTTGTGGCCACCATACCCAGGGTGACTAAAGTGTCAAAACACTGGTTAGTTCAGAAGAAAGAAAGGCAATTTGTCCAGATCCACCATGTGGGCTGTCTTAGAAAAACAGCTAAGGGGTGTGCAGGCTTATGTTTTGAATATGTGAGTGCTGTAATTGTATATTCTGTGCATATCTATTTAGAATAGTTATATTTTTTTATAGTGGTAGTTTAAATAACCTGTGAAGAGGGCTGGTGAAAGGATTTCAGACACTGAGGATGATCAATCATGAATGTAAATATTACCCTAGACTACTAAGGCCTTTATGTAAAAGCTACCCCCACACTAGAATTTGTAGTGAGAACCTTACTATCAAAGTAACAAGGGACAACAACATAACAATATATATCCAAATGTAGTAAGGGGTCAATGGTAGAACGGCCCTACGAAAGCCATATTGACTGGTGGAGGAGTATGCATCTCTAAATACCACAGTAAATGTCAATTTACCAGATGTTCCATCACCTTGCAAACTGCACTGGTAAGAGCAATGGGACGATAGTGGAAGGCATCATGTCCCGTAGTACCCGGTTTGCGGAATGGGAGAACAATGGCAGATTTCCACAGCTGGGGAAGAACTCCTTGTGATCAAATAAGATTAAAGAGTCATAAGAGGACTGCAAGGGCTGACTGATGCAAATGTTGTAACATCCGAATATGAATACCGTCAGGCCCACCTGCCGATGAATGGCAAGCTGAGAGTGTTGCCTCCAGTTCCAGAAGTCTAAAAGGCACATTATAAGATTCTTCTTTGAGAGAAGAAAAGTCTAAGGGTGCATAGATCGAGCCCCTGAGAAATACGGACCAGGTGATTGCCAATTTCAATGGCAACGTCAAGAGGGTTTGCTATATCAACACCGGCAACCCGCAGAACAGGAGCTGGGTCGGGAGAGTATTTACCACTCATTTTCCTTACTTTTTCCAGATTGCACTCATAGAAGCAGAGGTGATGGTGGAAATGTAATCTCGCCAGCAAGTGCGTTTAGCATCACCAATGACACGGCGAGCAACCACTCTCTTCTGCTTAAAATCAAGAAGTCTCTCTGTGGTTCTCTTGTAACGGTACCTGCCTCACACAGTGCGTTTCAAATATACTGCCCGAGCACAAGCAGGAGTCAGCCAAGGCATGCACTTCTGAGAATGCCTGCCCAAGGTTTGGGGTATAGAATGAGAAGCTGCGGTTAAAACTGAGGTCGAGAAGAGGTGTAAAAGCTCATCAATGGAGGACAAAGAAGGAACCTCACTAAAAGCAGTCAGTTACGAGTAAAGGTCCCAATTTGCTCGATCAAATTGCCAAAGTGGGCTACGAAGAGGTGGCGTCTTCCAGACGCCAACAAGAGTCTTCAATAAAGGTACAGTGGAACCTCAAAAATCGAACATATCACATATTGAACATTTCGAAAAAGGACCATTTTTTCAGACAAACTGTGTCCCTATTATCGAACGCACCCCTATTTTCGGACCGCCGGGTACGGGACCTGTCTGCCACCTGCTCTGTCCGCGTCCCCGCACAGGCACCGTGAGCAGTCTAGCTTTGTTTATGCTTGAGTGAACATTAACCTGCGCTCTCATTCACTCATTTTACAATTATTTCGTTGTGTTTAGTGCTTGTGGGACTGTGAAATAAGCTGCCATGGGCCCAAAGAAACTTGCTAGTGGTACCCCTGTGGTAAAGAAAGTGAGAAACACCATAGATGTGAAGAAGGAAATAATACAGAAGTATGAGAGTGGTGTGAGACTTGTTGAGCTTGCCAGGATGTATGGGAAAAACAAGTCGACCATCGGTTCTATCCTATCAAAGAAAGAACAAATCAAGGAAGCTGATGTTGCGAAAGGTGTTAATATCGGGAGTGGATGAGGTGTCTTCTTCAAAGATTAAGGAGATTTGTGCCAAGTGGAATGATGTCCAAATGTTTGTGCAGAAGTACCACCTGAGCGAGCTGAAACAAGCCATCTTTGCAACAAGTTCAGTGACAGAACCATGTCCCATTTTAGGGAAATGTTAAAGAGGCACCAGAAACAGAGGACTGTGGACAGTTATTTTGTGAGACAGGGGTCCAGTGACTCTCAAGCTGGTCCTAGTGCCATTAAAAGACATTGAAGGGAAGTAACCCCAGAGAGGGCTTTACCTGAAGTCCTCATGGAGGGGGATTCTCCTTCCAAACACTAATCCCAACTCCCTCTCTCCTCCTCCCTATCTTCCAGATGCCATCACCAATCTTCAGTAAAGGTAAGTAAAAATGTTATTTTATATGTATTACTATACATAATTAAAAACTATAGTACAGTGGACCCCCGCATAACGATTACCTCCGAATGCGACCAATTATGTAAGTGTATTTATGTAAGTGCGTTTGTACGTGTATGTTTGGGGGTCTGAAATGGACTAATCTACTTCACAATATTTCTTATGGGAACAAATTCGGTCAGTACTGGCACCTGAACATACTTCTGGAGTGAAAAAATATCGTTAACCGGGGGTCCACTGTATTTGTTGTATGTAAAACTGTAATTAATCTCTATAAAATGTATTTTTTGTGTGAATATTTTTGGGTTTCTGGAATGGATTAATTTATTTCCATTATTTCTTATGAGAAATATTGCTTCGAATTTCAGACTTTTCGAATTCAGAACTAGCTCCTGGAACGGATTAAGTTCGATTTTTGAGGTTCCACTGTACGTAAATGTGATTTTAAATGTTTATCTATTTCATTAGCCATTTAAGACCTATATGTATTTATAATTGTTTTGTGTAAGTAAAACTATAATTATTCTTTAAAAAATGTATTTTTTTGTGAATATTTTTGGGTGTCTGAAATGGATTAATTGTATTTACATTAATTCTTATGGGAAATATTACTTCAAATTTCGGCTGTCTCATATTTGGGCCGACCTGGAACGGATTACAGCTGAAAAACAAGGTTCCACTGTATTTTCCTTTTCAAAAATTTAAATACTCAATGTACAGTATTTGCATTACTGGATATAATAGAAATTCATACAAGTTTAGCACTTCCTTACAAATATGATAATGGGAAACCTTTCAAAATGTATCTTGTGTAAAATATTTCAAAGATAATAACAAATCGGTCCACAACACTAGCATCTGCACTCACATTTTCTGTGAGAATTAAACTAAAATATGCTTAACTAACATAATGGATAATTAATGATCAAACAAAAATTATTTAGTGGGTAAAATTTAACATTAGAATGAAAGGTTTAACATTAAGTGCAGACGAGCCATTGACTGGAGCTTCAATGAAGTGCAGTACTTTAATTAAAGTATTTGAGCCTGAGATTTTTAATGGCCTCAACCCTCTAAATATTTAATAGGTCATATAAATTCACTGCATCTGATAATGAAGTGCTCTTAATCTAATGAAATGGAGTTGCCCTCCCACCCTTGAATCAACTCTGATTACCTAAACTTTCATTTACCTAAAGATTGTATCCCACCACCGGCAAGGTCAACAAAACAAACATTTTCAGCATGTACACCAAAATCTCATTTCCTTTGTATAAACACAGTATTATGCTGAAATAAACATTATTATTATTATTATTATGTATTCATTTTATATAGCACCTAAGGTAATCAGGTTCAATCCAAAGAAGGGGAAAGCAACTTCAGTTCCTTGGATCAAGAGCCCATCAGCATCAAACTCCCCTCTTACTAAAGATTAACATATACTATGATATGCTAAAGCTTTATGGTTAAGTATTAAACAATACTATTTTTTATAGTGCAATTCAATAGGAAAGTAGATTTTAATTATATGTATGGGGAAATACTAAGCTCATTAGGGAATGACAAGTAATCTAGTTTCATACAAAGGGATTGCAGCTCCAATTCCCTGGATCAAGAGCCCTTAAGTGGCATCAAGTCCCCTCCCCCTTCCATTGAAGGGAGACCCCTGTTATATATTGTATATAACGTACTTCTTTGAAAACAGCCTATTTTATTACAAAGCCTCAATGTTGAGCAAGGAGTAACTATTATATTTATGTTCAAGTTGAAGTCAGCATTTTGCTATCAATATAAGAATAATGTGCTGTATACAAACCCTATGAGTTTAACCTGTAAACGGTCCAAATGTATATGTTTTTTCAACATTTGAAAGTATGTAAAAAAGTAATTTTTTTTTTTTACATTTGAAAACGTGTAAAAAAAACTTTGATCTACTTTTGGAGCACTACGCATGTGAACGTAGATCTGCTTGGACAGTTTAAGGGTTAATGCTTCCCCCTCATTAAAATAAAAATAAATTTTCTTTGTAATCTGACGATTCAAAAAAAAAAAAAATCATACAGGTTGATTTGAAAAAAGCTTATTTTCTTGACTATCCTGAATATGGGAAACTCAAAATGTGAAGAGATTCAAGATCCTGACAATATTTTGTAGACCTTTCTTGCTCCACTGCTGGTCTCGCTGGCATTTTTTACGGCTTCTTCCATGAATTTGCAATGCACTTTATAGGCTTTTTCTTGATCATTAATCTGCAACAAAGTCCAAAAACTTAATTTTCATTTAAGAAAATTACAATGGTGCATCTTTATTGAAAAGAACAATATAAGTTATTAAAAGAATGTAGAATTATTGCATTTATGGAGAAGCACTTAACCCATTAGGGTCATACCAGCCAGAACACATAAATAAGAAATATCCCTAAACCTGGCCTTGAGCAAAGCCCACCTCAATGGTAAGGTCTTGCAACACCAGAAAACCCCTGCCACTACATGAATACTGGACACTACTTCAGATAAAGGCAAATAAACCACAATGCTGCCACAAGGGCTTCCCTCCAAGGAACATGTCTGGTTTTGAAGGTTCTACCATCATAGTTAAGCCTGAAGACAGAATTCATTGCTGACTGCCATTTCAACCAAACTTTTGCTGCTGTCACTCTGAAGGTCAATCAATCAATCAAAAGTTTATTCTCTATAAGGATTACAATGCAGGGTTTACAGATTTTGGTTATTGTGTGGTTTACATGTAGTAAAAAACTAATTACAGAGGGGGCCACTAGGACACCTAGCATGGCTAGGCATTTCGGGCAAACTTAAATTAATTCTTAACCCTAAATTATTACCTATTATGGAGTAAGTTGACTAAATACTAAGTGACTAAATACTAGTTTGTGAGTTCAGCAATGTGAATGCTTTTGTTTTGGCACAATACATAGTTTCTATATTGGAGTATCACAGGCAAACTTATGACTAGTTAGGAATCATTATTTTAAGATTCGTATTTCTGTGCTTATAGTCAAATGGGTGAGTAAGTGAGTGTAAGTGTGAACCACCAGGTGGTTTTTATGTAGTTAGTTGACGGGGTGTATCAGGGAGATAAGACGATTTCTAACGGTAGTTTTGAAGATGATGAATGTGTCTGCAGTTCTAGAGTTTTCAGTAGGGTGTTCCACATTTTAGGGCCTTTGACATCACAACTTAACTGATTAGGCATGTGCAGCAGGTAGTGAGACAGTAGTCCAGTTTCCACTTCACAACTCCTATTTTTGTTCCAGTAATATCTTAATGTACTGGTAGGAGGCTGAGTACTCATGGATCAGAGAACTTAAAATGGTGTTTCTAACTGTGACTATGGCACCACCTCCTGCTCTTTACTGGGTTTATTATACACTTCCTTCCCAGTCTCTCACTCCAGCAAGCTATGGTACTCTGTAAACTGGGGCCCTGAACCTCAAGTAGTATTATTTTGAGTAGCTTTAAAAATTGATTAAACAAACACATGAGTGAGTGTGAGTAAAGCCTTCAGTTCCTACCAGTTAATATGAAATGCATCTGATGGTGTCACCAAGTCACCCAAATTTGACAAGACTTATAGAGCTGCACTCCAATGATGGAAGAAGGATCAGGTATGAGGAAATTAGAGAGGAAACTTCAAGAACCTGACCTTCACAAATTTTGGCTGGATCTATTAAAACAAGAGCCAAATGGAGAAATGGAAGAAAAGGAACTTCCACATCATAGAGAGGGGCACAGAACAGCTTTGTAATTCTCACTAATGTACTCTGTAGAAGTATGCAGAGGCCACAAAAGCCAATCTCCCACCATGTAATCCATCCCTAAGCTGGCAGCATGAAGCTCTGAGAAAACACAGAAGTAAAATTTGTAGGGAGCTAGAATCTATGTAGAAATTTAATCATGATTAGGCAAGTATAAATTGTACTTCCCACTAATGTAGCAAAGAAGACTGGTAAAGTCCACTACTGGAACTACTAACACCTCAAATGATGTAGGTGAGGTTTTGGTAGTAAAGATTGAAAACCAAAACCTTATCATTGTGGTAGTATACAAGCCTCCAGAAGCAACTTCCCAGCAATTCCAGGAGCAGCTTTTGAAAACTGATCACTGTCTGGTAAATCTCCCAACTCCTGCCCCAAACATCTTACTACAGGTCCTCCATCACAAATCTGGCATCATTGGGACCTGTAGTGTGCTGGATTACTGAGTTTGCCAGATTACAGAGTGATTAGGTTAGAATACACTTAATAAAATTGACCAACTTGACTTACACAAAGTTCACTGAACATCGGCAAAAATCAAACATTTCTGCTACTTTGAGCTCACTTTCAAGGTACTTTTTGTCGTGAAACCAATCAAAATCATATCTATTTCTGTAATATATCTTCCATTCTATCAAATGAGACCAAAAAAACGAAAATATGCCGCAAAAAGGCGGCTAATGGGTGAGAAGTGAACTCCCTTACTTATCGTCCGTTTTTTTTTTTATTAATTTTTGGTGCACGTTAAGAAGCATCTTAACATCATACATTGCCCAAGTTTCAGTAAGATAGCCCAACAACCTGAGAAAAAACTATTTACCAAAAATCATATATGGCAAGCCCAAGCCAGGTACTGCAAATAAGTCACTTTGTCTGACTTTTTTGGGTTATCCAAGGTTCTCTACACATATGCTGCTATGTATGATAATCTACGTAACTGTATTTGTGTATACCTGAATAAACTTACTTACTATTATTCTGTCGACTGAGTACAAGAAACCGCCTATTCACCTATTTAAACTACCCAATAAAGTGGTCAGTAATTGGCAATTTGGCCAATTTCACACAAATTTCAACAGATGCCAATTTCAAAATAGGGTCCAGAATAAACAATGCAGACATTCCTGGCACTAAAATAACATTTTCTCTGTTCATTAGTCACGGCTCCAGGCCTCTCTTATATTACTCTTGCTTACCATTTGGAATTTTTATTCACACACAAAAAAATAGAAGATTTAGTGTTATGCTGACTGCTGCATTATTGTAATAATTGTATAAATAATGTCAACCCATTCTTGACTGTGTATTCGAATTTGGACTGGCAGGCAGACAGGTATTGGACGGTGACATCATTTGTTTACTCTTGAACATCACTAAAGAATAGAACATTTCCACTACTGTGAGTGCAATTTCAATGTACTTTTCTTTGTGTAAGCACTCAAAATCATATTTATTTCTGTAATATATCTTCCATTCTATCAGACGAGAAAAAAAACAAACGAGAATACAACCATGAAAACCATACAAAAATATACCGCTAAGGGGACATTAATGGCTGCGAAGTGAACTCCGCTATTTATGGTCTGATTTCCTTCATTTCTGGTGTAAGTTAAGAAGCATCTTTCCATCATACACTGCCCAAGTTTCAATAAGATAACCCAACAAACAACTGAGAGAAAAATAATAAATAATAATAATCTTTATTTACTACACTTACATGTACATGGTATACAGGCCTAGCTGACATCAGTGACATACTACTATATAGAAAGCCCCTTGTTATACTGAGCATTTCAGGCAAATTTGGTCAGTGTCCCAGGATAAACTCACACCAGTCCACTAACACCCAGGTACCCATTTACTGATGGGTGAACATAGACAACAGGTGTAAAGAAACACACCCAAAGTTTCTACCCTGGCTGGGAATCAAATATTTACCAAAAATCATATATGGCTAACCCAAGCCAGGTACTAGAAATAAGTCACTTTGACTTTTTTGGGTTATCCTAGGTTCTCTACACATATGCTGCTATGTGTGATAATCTACATAGAGAAAATAGCTTTTTTCAGTTTTATGGTGCAGTACGAGTGTATATCACAGTTAGCCATGTGCTAAACTCTGTTTTCTCTAATATAAGCCCCCAAGACAGGCATATGAGAATGGTATTTGTATCCCATGTCCTCTTCATACCACTGTCGAACTGCTCGGTATTATGCCAAATATTATTCATTCTGGAGTATTTAACATGTTTTTATGTTATTTATATTGTTTATTATGTCATATTAGATCAAATGTGATAGGCAAATAAGCTGTAGTGTTGATATTAGCATAATAAAAAAGCATATTCTCCTGCATCACGAGACTGAGCTCACAGCAACCAACAGTGGCTTCAAAGACAATGTACTGTGTAGGTGCTTTACACAATGAGAAGCATTTCTTTTATTCATTGGAACCATGGCTAGGGCTAAAAGTAAGCAGGTTAAAATAATAAACGGAGAAAAAGAAATTAGAATGACTTATGCAGCAGGTAGCACCACCAAACAGTACCAGCAGGTTGATGTGGCAACCCTGGAAATTTGAAATTATGCTAGCCAAAATTAGTGCCAAATAACTGAAGGAACAGAATAACTAATTGCCAGATTTGTGATGACAGACCTGTACTAGGAGATTTCACCTTGAGACACCTAAAATGTAGTAGTATAGCAAACAATGTTTTAGCAGAGATCACCCTAGGAGGCAGCTCAGATGAAAATTCACACACACACGAACTATTAAATCTCTGCACTAAATTCACCTTAAACCAGCAAATATTAGAGCCTACAAGACTAGAAAATAAGCTAGACTTCATCTGCACTAAAATGACAATCTGATACATAATATAACCATATCAAATACAATATGCTCAGACCAAAACATAAGAAAGGTAAAGACATGTACAGTGGAACCTCGGCTTACGAACGCCCCACCATGTGAACTTTTCAGGATACGAACCATCGTTTGGTCGATTTTTTGTTTCCGGATATGAATGAAATTTCAGGATGCAAACTTCTCCCTCAAGGGAGGTTCCTTAACCCTTTGACTGTTTACGCCGTATAAATACATCTTACGCGCCACTGTTTCTGACGTATATATACTCAATAATTCTAGCAGCTTCAAATCAAGTGGGAGAAAGCTGGTTGGCCCACATGTGAGAGAATGGGTCTGTGTGGTCAGTGTGCACCACATAAAAAAATCCTGCAGCCCACAGTGCGTAATGAGAAAAAAAAACTGATCGTTTTTTTGGAATAAAACGCCGATTTTTGGGTGTATTTTGTTAGTATTTACGTTGTTTTCCCCACGTTTTCATGGTCTTGGGTGAAAAAATGGAAACTATTACAAAAATAAAAAAAGATTTTTCATTACTTTGACATGAAAACGACCTTGAAACTGAGTAAAAAGTAGCGGAAATGTTCGTTTTTTTACCATGTTCAGGA